CTCAAACCCCTCCACCACGATAAGGTAGCAGCCCAATATTTGAGCTGAATTACAATCATTCTATTTACAATGTGTTAACATTTTTAAGACTTCTTAAAGATTAATTTAAGACATTTTAAGGCTAATTAAGGCCTTATTTTTGGATTGATGAATTCAATGACTTTTAAGACTTTAAGGATCTGCAGGAACCCTGTTTGAGGGTCTGAAAAACAAGCTGAGTTGAGCTAAAGATCTGATGTCATCAGATAACAGGACATTGATTGACCAGAGAGCAACACCAATTATGGGCGTCTCCTTCATTACAATCAAACCCACAAACTTTTTTAAAACCTCCCATTTGCAGCACGCATGTTAGGAAACCGTGATGGGTTTTGTGATTTTATTTAACTTATTTGCCCATTATTATGTTGTAGCTATGTGGTGGCTGCATGATATTAGAAAATCTTGTGATGCTGATACTACTTGTAAATACTGAGATGACGATATCCAGTGCAATGTTTCCTTTTTTTCCTCTCCTCCCTTTGTAGTCTCTACTTCCTACTCGATGTGACTTTTAACATTTTTGGCAAAGTCATTTATGTCTGCTGTGAGCTGTTGCAGCTATTGATACTCTGTCCTTCTGGCTATGACAACATATTTGTAATATGTATTGTGCAGTAATATGAGCACCAGTGACCCAGAGAGGAAGAAGTGGGCAAAGAGAATGGATGGATGTGTTGCTGTGAGTCGTGGTCAAACTGCACAATGTAAAAACAGCTGACACTGCAAAAACAACAACAGACACGTGAAGAGGTCAATCTGTGCAGCTCAGAGACAAGAGGCAGTAATAACATGCAGTCTGTGGGATTCAAAGTGGTCACGTCTGGTTCAGCTACGCTCACTTCATGTCTGTGAGGTGAGTCCGTGTGTTTGTGCAGGTCTGAGGCACAGAATGAGGTCCTGACAGACCAGGTACCTGGTCAGCTTGATGGTGTTGTCCAGTGCAGCAGACAGGAGCAGGCTGTCGTTCTGTCTGTTGAAGGACAAGCCTCGGATCTGTTTACTGTGGATGGGAACGTACTGACTGGCTTTCATGTTCACCATGCTCACCTTCTTCACCCCACAACCTGAGGAGAGGACAGACAAACTGGACTTCAGTGACTTGTGTAGAAACGTCTGAACAAGATGAAGGCCTGGCCTGAGTCTGAACTCATTAAAACAACTAGGGTGGGGGGAACCATTTAAGTCAGAACACTTCAAATGTCAGCTGATTAAAACTATGCTGGGTCTGTATTATGAATCGGATATATAATATTTCCCTCTGAACTCAAGTATTTTACCTAAAAAATCTGGATCATTGCTCAGTCTGCTGTAAATTAAGGTATAAAAAACCTCTAAAACAATATTTATGTTTAAAAAGATGATTAAGTTTAAAATTAGTGGGAGAATAAACCACCTAGAGGAAATAGGATATGAAGATATCTGATGTTTTTGTTCTGTATTTTTTTGTAAATATGGCGATTATAGAAGTGTTTTTTTAAAGGGGCAAATAAAATAAGAGTTTTCTTCAATCTGCAGCCTTTTCATTCACAGCATGATTTACTTTAATTTACTGTATATAGACTGTTTTGTTTTTATGAATGAAATAAATAGAAAAATATATATAATTAAATATTTAGGCAGATGTGGCTACCTGTGTGCTTTTGTTCAGGCATTATGTGGGCGACTACAGATTTACTCTCCTGCCTGTTTAAAGCATAGTTAACAGCTACATAAACATTTAAAATCAGATAAATTCATGTATAAAATGAATAAAGACCATTCTGTGAGAACTGCAGATTCTGTTAAAGAACATTTGTCAGAGTTTCAGGCTTCAAGTTTAAACTGTTGTTCCTGAATATTCAAGCTTTAAATACAGACGTTTATTTTAGTCCTAAGTGCACACGAGTAAACCGATCTGACAGAGCAGAGGTGAAGACATCAGGTCTGTTTGTCGGGTTACTGAAGAGGACTTCTCACCGGGCACCAGCGTGGCCTGAGGGGAGGGCTGGGAGGCCAGCAGGCAGCTCAGAGGCTCACAGTAGGACAAAACCCTGCAGCCTCCAGCGTGAGACAGTAGCACCGCCCTGGAGAAGCTGTACTGGGCCGTCCTGAAGCCGTCCACCTTCTGAGACGAGCCGAAGGAGCTGCAGCTTGACGAGGAAGAGGAGGTGAAGGGAAGTGAACTCCGGCCTGTCTGGGCCATCAAGACCCTCAGCTCCTGCAGAGATGGGGACAGTGAAACCAGGGTTAACGGACACTTGCTACCTGCACCATGTTTCAGAAAACTCCACAGAGACGAAGACAGGAAGAACATTTAACTCTAAATGCACCTTTTTCTGTTCAGGTTCTGGTGTTAAAAGACACAAAAATAGTTACATTTTTATTATGATGTGCACATCCATGGACTGATTAGTAGAGTTCTATATGAAATAAACAATATTAAGAGCAACCACACATGAAGTTTGAAAGCTGACTGCTCTTCACTGCAAACAAAGTGTTGATTTTAAAAGTCCAATTTCAGATCAAATGAACTAAAGCAGAGAGTTTACAGAGCCAGGGTGAGGCTGATCATCAACCTCCAGCCAAAAGGGTTGTGTCGTTTCTCAATAATCTAAATAAATAAATAAATAAATAAATAAAATAAAAACCAGAGATAAATTTTCAGGCGTCGACTTGGGTCACGTAGTTCTAACCGTTTAATTCTTAGTTATTATGCCTGATCCCAGCTGTCTATTCAGCTGCAGCATTGCAATGTTACAAGGGCTGCACAATATAGCACAAACTTATCGTCATCGTGAGAACAGCCTGTGCAAAAGGGATACTGCAAAAAAAATGCATGAATTGCAATAAATGGTTAGCTTTAATGTTTGCATTTGTGTGTTTTTGTCAGCATCAGTCTGATAAACAAAATGATGCCTCATTAAATCATATCCACTCTGTCATGTTGTAATTAAAATGTTAGTTGTTTTTTTTTTAGCTCTGAACCAGAACAGAAAGATAAACACTGCATATTTAAGTTTTTTTTCCCCGTTTATCTCAAGTAGGGCTGCAACGAATCGATAAAATCGATTATTAAAAGCGTTGGCAAAGAATTTCATTATCGATTCGTTATGTCACGGGATTTAAGTGTCCCTCGCCGTGTCGCGGAGCCGATTACGTCACTCGCAGAGCGTTGTCAATGACTGCAGTTACCAAGAAAAAAAACTCTACCTGTAAAAATCCGCCCTTTCTGACTCTCGAGTGAAAAGCAGAGACTACGAACTTTAAACCAGTTTTAAAATTGTGTTTTTAGGCCAAGTAGATCTTAAGATATGATAAGAAGTATATGACGCAGTTTAATGTTTTTTGAAAGACGTCTGATTTGATGTGCGCTGCGTCGCGAGGAGGAAATGTGTGCGGGGGAGGAGGGAGACCTTAAATCCACCGTTTCATCCTCCTCTCGGGCCAAAAGTATAAAAACTCTCCAGTTGTTTCTGACTGAGGTCCAAAGTTATTTGTTGAGCAGCAAAAAGTTTCAGGACGAAAGAAAAAAAAAAAGACGCAATCGAGCAGCAGGTCTGCAGGGAGAGGGGAGCAGGAGGGGGGCTGCTTCAGAACCGTTTTTTTTTTTTTGGGTCAAACAATGTTTTAGTCAAACAGAACCAACAAGAATGAAACAAAAAGTAAAGAATTGGAGAAAAAAATAAATGTTAAATGTAAATAAATTCTAATTATAATAAATTAATAATAGTTTTACATCTAAAAATCATATTTTATTATTTTAATCTATTTTCCTCATTCAGCAACCTATTAAATTTCTGTTATGTTTCATGTAGGAGAAATACACATTTTTTTTCAGTCAGTATTTAATACAGCTGGCAAAATAAATTGTTAAAATATGTATTATGTGCTTCTGTTTTTTTTTTTTAATTCAGGAGATAATAAAAAAATCCTTCATTTTATGGAAAGACCCTCTTGATTCAAGAGAAAACTTTTTTTTAAATGGCTGCTTATTAATTGTTAATCAATCTATAAGATAAATCAACTTCAGATTAATTCATTAATCAATAACTTGCATCCTTAAGGAGTTAAAGGGGACCTATTATGCAAAATTCACTTTTTAAAGGTTTTTTTTACTCAACTTTGGGTATGTACTTCTAAAAAAAAGTCCTAGGACCAAAAAAATGCACCCAGGGGCATATTTACTGTAAGTAAATGTATTTTTAATGTATATTAATGACAAGTTTTACACTTCCGTCATTTTGTGATGTCACAAGCCGTACGACAACCCACCGGAACCTGCATTCAGCCCCTTACCTAGCAACCCCCCGGGGTGAGACTCCACCTCCTCAGTATAAAAAGCCGTCACGGTTGTTGTTGTGCAATGTGTAGCTCATTTCACTACAAGCCTCCAATAGGACAACGGGTAGTGTTGGACCAAAGAGTGGGAGACCAGGATTTGAGACCGGCACAGACATACCATAAAAATTTCTAGGACCCATAATTGGTCTCCTTTAACTTAATTTATGTCTACTCATATTCATGTAATTAAGCATTTTAATGATTTGGCCGATTAATCAAAAAAATAATCAACTGATTAATCGATTATTAAAATAATCGTTAGTTGCAGCCCTAATCTCAAGTCATATTGCTGTCACAATATTAAGCACTGTTATTGCAGGTTTTCCTGATATGGTGCAGGCCTCGTTTCCACCCAGCTCCATCAGGACGCTCAGATACCTGCAGCTCATGCTGTGCCTGTCCGTATTTGTTGGTGACGACCTGCAGTTTGAGTTTGTACTCAGCTGACTCCAGCTCAGCCTTCCTCCTCAGAGACTGCTCCTGCTCCAGAGATCTGCAGAAACACACAAACACTTTTACCACTAATCTCACAAATAAGACATGATTTTTTTAAAGCTTCTGCAAATAAATTTAATTTAATTTAGACTTTTCAGTTGTTTCAGTTCAGCTCAGAGGCAAAACGGTGGTGGGCTGACTTTGTTTCACCGTGGCAACGTTAAAAATAAAACCAAGAAAGGAAGAAGGCACCTTAGAGCCAGACTGATGTGTTTTGGGTTTTTTAAAAGGCCTTTCTTGTTGTCTGCACCTTGTTCACCTGAGGAATCATCAATGTCGAGTTGTTCTGAATTAATCTGCAGGTCTGACACTTTTCTTCTCAGCAGGAATGAAAGTTCCTTTTAGACAATTCACAGGCCTGTCACGATAACAAATTTTGCTGGGCGATTAATTGTCTCACAAATTATTGCGATAAGCGATAATATTGCCTGGTGACCATTTTACAACTAATAATTATAAAAGCGTAATATGTAAGTGTAATAAATCAATAAACTTTAATTTTTAAAGAATGTTTAACAAAGTGGACTGTCAGTCTCTAACAAAAATGCACTTGAATAAAAAAAAACAAAGAACAACAAAATGTAAATTAAACACCACACACAACTTAYACAGTAAATAAACAATATTAAAGAGCAGCATCTCTTTAGAGATGAAGCAAACTACACAGCCTGGTGAGGACCCACTGTTTCTTATGGGGAAATAAGCCCAGTTCACATCCCATGTAAGGCTAGGTTTAGGGTCAAATGGTAATAGAAAATACTGGTATATGAATGAAAGTCAATGCAAAGTCCCCATGAGGATAGAAGAACAAACGTGTCTGTGTGAGGAGGGGACTGTCTGTCGGTCTGTCTGAGTGATTGATGGGGTCTCTGTCTGTCTGTCTGAGTGAGTGATATTCTCTCTCTCTCTCTCTCTCTCTCTCTCTCTCTCTCTCTCTCTCTCTCTAAACAGGAGGGGAGGAGTCAGCTGAGCACAGACAGGGAGAGACACAAAGTAAACAAACAAGTAGGAAAATGAAACTTATCGTCCTCGTTTTTTTTTACCGACCTCAAAAAAAGTTATCGTGCAATTAATTGATATATTGTCTATCGCGACAGGCCTAACAATTCACACATTTAATTCTCCTCAGCTGTATGTGCGGTCACTGATGTGTGTTTAAATCTACACTAAGGAAGCAATCAATCAATCGACAATTAATTGTCAAATAATGGTTTATTAGATCAACTGGTAAAATCTGCTTAGACGGACCAGAAAGATGCATCCTCTCCCAGATTCTGTTTCAATTTATTCAGAAGTAGGGACTTGAAAATTTAAAGCAGTTGTTAAATTATGTTGATAGGCCAAGTTAAAGCAGAATTATGATAAATATAGACCCTTTTTCCCCCTTAAAATGACGTCCGATTTGATGAGCATGAGCAGGAAACACTGTCCCATGGAAAAAAAACACAGCAATCCTTCGTCAGTTTCATCCTCCTCGAGACGATAAAATAAAAACCCTTTGATCGTTTCTCTGACAGAGGCCCAAAGTTGTTTGTCAAGCAGAAAAAATTCTACGGGACGAAGAAAATAAAACGACACAAAAGATGAATGAAGTTTGGTGGTGATGAAGAGAGAGTGAGAGCAGGAGAGAATTGCGAGATCTTTAGCGCTACACGTTTGGATTGTACAGTTTGGCGTGTAGTTCAGTGTCTGTAGACTTTCATCTGTTTTAGTCCAAACAATGAGCTGAGCTCAGAGCTCGGACTCTGTGCAGAGGGGGAATGAGACGGCCCACCTGCAGAACCAGGGTGACTCTGGTCCAACAGAACCAAAAATCAGTTCTGAGCTCTGGAGAACAAAAAAAAGTCTGTTGTTTAAACCAGAGATTCTTAACCCGTGGGCCGCGAGCGCCACCTTGAGGGCCTCAAAAGAACAACAGATTTTCACTTTGGGCCGCAGAGGGCCGTGGAACCGCATTGATTTTGAATAAGGTGCAATAGTGCTGGGCGGTATCCCGGTTCGTACCGAATATCGTTTTTTATTTTTGCTGTGACATGAATTTTCTGAATACCGACATACCGGTTTAAATAGCCACGTGCGGAACGTTTCGTCACAGCCGCCAGTGAACTGTTTCCCGGGGGACACTTTTCTTCGCAGCACCACTATGCGCATTAGCATGCTTATGTTACTGTTGGAATAGCTGCAGCGGCGGGTGGCAATTCCGCTGCTCATATTGGCTGACATAAAACAAAAACCATTCCGTTTTCGCCATCGCTTAATGTAGTTAACACATCTTCTGGGATGTGCACGGTTAGATTTAACATGCGACGTTAAAAATGGAGTCGTGGAGACGCATGGAGACTTTGGCTGTGTCCAAAACGACAGGCCGGGTCCTCCAGAGGACCCAGACTACACGGTCATGGCGGGCCGGGTCCTTGGTAGACCGGGAAGACCGGAAAAAAAGAGGCTGTGAATTTGGACGGTCTAGCCTCCCCTCCTTACCCCGGCGTACGTCATGTCACCTAGCAACTGTGACGACGCTAAACAAGCAAACTTAAATCAAAACTAGAAGAATATCAATTCATTAGCATTATTAATATCACAAAACTATAAAATTAACTTAAAAGTATCATTTGAAGAACTATTTGACTCGCTGTAGGTTCATGTTTATTTCGCGTTATTTATGACGAAAAAATAATATTTAAAAACATGTCCATACAAATGATAAAAGTATTAGAATTACAACCGCTAAACTTTTTTAATTTTTATATCACCATATTTTTATTTAAATGTATTCTTTTCTCTCGCTTCGTCCGCCATTACTAGCATAAAAAAACCTCCGGTCGGGCCGCAATGCATTATGGGATATGCTGGGCCAGGAAGGATTAATCAGATCCGTCCTTCAAATCGGGGAAAAAGGACGTATTTGTCGGCCGCATCAGAGGAGTCTTTGGTTTTGGACGTCCTTCGTCGCGGCGCTGTGACGTATGCGGCCGACAAATTCGACCTTCGGAGGACCCGGCCTGCCGTTTTGGACACAGCCTTTAGCATGCTTCTTTTGTGAAAAGCCCGGGGAAGAAGTTTTGTAGTGGAGTTGAGCTGACTGGTGTGCAAGGTGAGTCGTGCTGGTAATCTTTATTAAATAACATAAAACAATAAACCCGATAATCTTTTCTTAACCCTCCTTCACGACGGACCAAAATGCATGATTACTGTTTCCAACCACTAGTCAGAGAAAAGACACAGAGGAGGGAAACAGCGACACAGACACAGTAAAGAAAAAAGTTAAGCAGGTTTTGTACATTTTACTATCAGCTGGCCTGTGATGAAAAGAAAAATACAGTGATATACCGTGAAACTGGTGTAAATGTTGAAAATACTGTGATAAAAAATTTTGGTCATACCGCCCAGCACTAAGGTGCAATACACTTTCTCACCACAGAAGCGGTAGTGCACCACTCAGATGTTTAAAACCTTTTAGGGCTGCCCAACCCTGGCCCTCAAGAGCCCCTATCCAGCATGTTTTACTTGTTTCCCTGCTATTCAGCAGGTCTTCAGAAGATTGTTAATCACTTATTCATTCAAACCAGGTGTGTCAAATCAGGGAAACCTCTAAACATGCAGGAAAGGAGTCCTTGAGGACCAGGGTTGAGAACCACTGCTTTAACACGTTATCTAATTTATTATTTATACATAAATGGCAAAGAGTCAATGACTTCCAGAGGCAATACTAAAATCATAAACTGAGTCTATATTATATTTTGAAAATGTCTCATCAAGCTCAGAGAAGCTCGAGGTGTTGGTCAACATTTAAAGCACTGATTTTTAGATGTTTCCCTGATTTGACACCTGGTTTGAATGAATGAGTGATTAACAATCTTCTGAAGACCTGCTGAATAGCAGGGAAACAAGTAAAACATGCTGGATAGGGGTACTTGAGAATGGAAACCCATTTTAAATGAAAAGTTGAAGCAAAAATGAAAGTAATACGTCAAAAAACACCAAAGTTTGTCACTAATATGAAGAGCAGCTTTAGTTTTTACCAGGCAATATTTTAAAAGTTCAAAACATTATCAAATACAGTTGCAGATACAATTAAATTTTAATTTTCACTTTAAATTAATTTTTATAGTTTATTTTTAAACATTTTGAATGTATTTTAAATAAACTTTAAACTTGTCAAAAAGCTGTTGTTACTGTTATTGTTTGTCACTAATATGAAGAGCAGCTTCTGGTTGCAAAAGTTTAAAAAGGCTTTGTTTTCATTTGTACTTTATCAATTTTATTTTTACATATTTTTTTTAATTTGAAACATTTAGATTAAACATTTTTAAATTTATTTTATGCCCACAATTTTATTTTTTTAATTGTCTATTTTTGTTATTGTTMATATTAAAAAATATATATTTGTGTGTTGATAAGCCTGAGTGGTCTGTTGACTGATCGTTGTATTTGTTCAAACAATTGTTATGGGCAGGTTGCAATATAAAAATGTTTGCCATAATCACATATGTGATTATTTGACAGGATTATTACTTTTAACTGTTAGTGTATTTAATTTAATTATGTTAGTTATGATAGTTTAATTATAATGTAAATACAATAAAAATTAAACCAAGATTTAGAATAATTATCATTTTGATCCATACATTGGTAGTAATGTGTGACTGGGCCTCGTGACAATTTATGTTCAACAAATTGGGCCCCGAGTTCAAAAAGGTTAAGAACCCTTGGTTTAAACCACAGAGAGAACCAACAAGAAGGCAGCAAAAAATAAAACTGAGACAAAAAATTTTAATTCTAAATGTAAATGCACTCTAAAATTAATAATTTATTAACAACAGTTTTACATCTTTGTTCATGGAGGATTAAGTGTTTCACATCTTTTATTTTTGGACTGTACTTACTGTACTTGTATAGCGCCTTTCCATCCAACCAGGATACTCAAAGCTCTTTACATAATCTGTGTCCTGACAGCCAATACAGGTCAATCTATAGAGACTAATCAGTGCTTTAAATCACATTCAAACACTGATGGGACACATCAGAGGCAGTGGGGGTTCAGTGTTTTGTCCAGGGACACTTCGACATGTGCCAGAATAGTGGGGAATTGAACCACCAACTCTTGGATTAGAGGAACGACTCCACTAACCACTCATTTATTCTTTTATTTCCATCCAGCAGACTAATAGCTTTCTGTTTTGTAATATTTTATAAATATGTCCAAGTTTAACGATGTGTGAGAAATCCACAATGCTTTTGTTTTTTTCAGTCAGTGTTTATTAGCTGGCAAAATAAATTGTTCAAATATAATGATGTGCTTCTTTTCAGCATATTCTTAAAAAGGACTGACCCTTTATGTTCTGAAAGGACCCTTGAGTCAAGAGAAAACTCAGGTTTTTAAGAAAATGGCTGCTCATCTTGTTAATCAATTGATGATCAATCAACTTTAGATTAATTAATTAATCAATAACTTGCATCCCTAATCTACACGTGACAAAGACATAAAGCTTTACAGAAGTGGCTGCCTGCACATTCTCACAGCACAACACGTTTTATAACTTGTGAAAGAGCAAAAGCAAACAGTGTGAATGTGAACCACACCAACTGAAAATGTAAAGAAAGCTTGCAATCTTGGTCCCCCAGTCGAATTGAGTCTAGCGGACCATCAGATGTGAACAGGACCTGTGTGACATGTCAGAGTGTAGTGTATCAGAGGTCTGACTCACTTCTTTAAGCTCTCCTGCTCAGAGTTGTCCAGAGCTCTCAGCTTGGGGGCGTACAGCAGCACGATGTCTGACCGCTTGGCCTTCTTGTTGCACTAAGAACATCAGAGACACACAAAGCTGACAGAAGCCCCACTCGTGTGGTGCTGGGATCGCCCCAGTGGAACTGTGGGCCTTGCTCACTAGGAGTGTAAGAAAATATTGATACACTGAAATATTGCGTTGTTTCATTTCCCAATAATGTATCGATATTCTAAAGCCCTGTATCAATATTTTATTAAGGTTTAAAACATCAACTTTCCTACCAGCCGTTCATTTTTATGTTGTAGTTCAGCCTCTGACAGCTAGTTGGCAGCAGTGAGCCAGCCATTTGGCTCCTCTGCCTCTTGAGCGCCAGAGAGTTAAGTGTAGCATTAGCATTGTGAGTAAAAATTAGCTTCATGCTCAGATAGCTGAATCTGAGCGGAAAAGACCGACAACCTCTGCCTTCTAAGCTGAGGTAATGTTACGAACAGTTACTTATTTGTCAGAATGTCTGTATTTTAAGCCAAATTGTCTCGTGTGCCCTTTATCCAACTGTAGTCAGCCTTCATGTTGCGCATATAGCGCATGCGTCTATCACCTCGAGCGAGCTCAGCACCCACCCCCACCCCTCATGACATAAAACTCTGTTGCTCAATGTCCAGCTGATCACATCAAAGTCCATATGCTTTAAGTTTATCCTGCTGTGTTTGCTTCAAAAATGGTTTAACTGTGTTGTTTAGCTTCTCCATTTATTTACTGTTTATTTTCAGGACCTGCCCTGCTGTTCAACCCACAGTTATACAAATCA